TACAACGATTCATTCGTTTACTCATCCGGCAACAGCTGGTACGACAAATCGCAACCATCAGGTAGCCATCACAGATATGGAAGATTCTGGGAGTGGCCACAGCCTGGACGTCCCAGCGAGCCTGAAGGTCCTCCTCCAAGAAGGAACCAGGAATCATCGTCCTCTTCACAACAAGATCTACCAAGATCAAGGTCCAGGCCTCAAAGAACCAATATTGTTGACAAGCTCAACATGTCTTTGGAAGAGCTGGATGTACTAGAAGAAGAACCGTCACCAACAAAAAGTGACATCGAAGAACACGAAAGAGAAACATCAAACTTGATGTCTGCTCAGAGAGATGAAGAGGAACAAGAGGACGAATCCTCCAGCCGGAGAAGAAGAAGGAAGGCATCGCGTCCACCGTCTGCGCCGAGCGGCAAGGCACTCAGAACAGCTGCTACAGCAGCGGGGTTGTCGGGCTGGTTCGGACACCGCAACCGAGGTGGAGCAAACGCAGAGTCTATCAAGACTGATGAAACTTCACTTCCAAACTCACTAACCAGTGAGCAGGACTTCTCCGTCTTCAGCATCGCGTGGAATGTGTTTCTGCTGCTAATGGGCTTACACTGGATGTGGAAGCAGATTACCAGGCCTCCTATCAGATGTATGTAGCGCCAACAACCAAAATCAAAAGCAGCAGCGAACCAAAGAGTTCCATTCCTCGAACCCGAGGATGAACCGCAGACGCGTGAACCTTTAGGACCCAACAGGGTCAATCCCGGAGAAACAACTGATCTGCGACCTATCTGGCATACTTCCCGGAGCGAAGTCTACCATCTCTCAGACAGCTGTTATCAGCTCAAGCAAGCAAGAGATGTCTGCGAGGAGGTGCTGTGCGAAAACTGCCTCCATGCAGTACAAGTTGCGGAGATTCGCAGGAACGATCCTTTCCAAAGAGGTGATACACGACCACGTGGCACCGAAAGAGACATTGAGCGCTTCCAGACCTACGATGATGCAAGTAACACTCCTCACATGACACAATTGTTCCAGGATGCCTTGCATGCACAAATGGCCGAGGAAGCCATGCAGATTACCTACACATCGATCCCTAAGGGATCCACGGCAAAGGCCAGAGGTACATCTGCACTCCCAAGTGCCGTATCGTCATCAGCGCCCAAGGCAATGCCACCAGGGCCTAACAAGGCTAACATGTCACCTCCACCTAAGAGTCCTCCGCCGAAGGCGAAAGGAACAGTACCTTCTGATCCTCCAAGACCAAAAGGTCCTACCAGAAGAGGAGGTCAAAATCGGCGTATTCAACGAAAAGCAGCTAGAGAAGCCCACAACAGTGGACTCTGCACCTATGCAGACGCTGCACTTGACCAAGCCAATCAAGGCCAGGCAATCAACGTTACGTGCCGAAACATAGTATCAAGACACGTCAGCTCTATCGATGCAACGGTAGAAGCAGCCGGTCAGTTTACACAACGCGTGCTACAGCACGTAGAAACATATGATGAAGAGGAACCGTGGAGCACGGAGTTTCTACCAGTCGTGGAAGTCCTATTCAGGAACTTAAGCGGCGACGAAACAAGTGTCATACATGACAATCAAACGGTAACTATGCCTCTTACGAAATACACAGACCTCCTCAGAATCGCACAATCATTGCGAAGCGCTATCCAGAGAGACAAGGAGGAAAGGAAGGAACATCTTGACACCATCCAAGATACTCTATCCAGAGTGGAAATCCTTCTAACAGCACTGAAGGACTCAAGAACAGTCTTTAACCAATTGGTCCATTCCTCACTAGAGATAGAGCGAAGAAATAACAATCTCAAAAATGTCCTCGAGACACTCTTTGACGACCAAAGCTCTGAGGAAGACCAGTCAGAATCTGACAATGAAGAAGTCCTAACTCCTTCTGCACCACAGTACTGGAATAGCCTTTATGCCCACGCCTTGTCTCCTTCAGGAGATGAAAGTGAAAGATCATGGGCGTCCTCAGACGGACAGCTTGAAAGAAGAAGGGCTGAACGGGCAAAGGCTAAGCAGCCGCAACCGGCAAAAGCCAAGGCAACCACAGCCAGCTCACAAGCTGCTCCAAAGGCCGAGCCAAAGGCGACAACATCCAACCATGGATATGATACTGCAGACGCCGCCTTCACCAGGGCTGAGAACAGATTACTCGGAATCTTTTCAAGTTCCGAAGAAGACCACTCAGACCCGGATGAGTCACATCCGAACGTCTATGCTCGAGCCTATGATCCAACCCTGGATCCGAATCTGAGATAAGAAAAATTCTCAGAGTTTCACAACAGTGACTCACAAAGCTCTAACAAGAGCAAGGTGAAAGGCTGCATAATTCGATGTAGAAAACATCACCAGACATGATCTTGTACAGATGATCTCTCTGACCAACATGCATGAGTGTGTGTGCAAAATAAGTGGAGTGTCCTCAGCAGTGTACTTCAGTGCTATACATAGCATAAACAATATGCTGTTTTTATCATGAGTCCAAACTCCGCAACTGTGACAGTGGGCATAATAGTATATGTGTGAATGTGCGGCCATGCTTCCGGTAAAAGAAAATTAGTGTCTGTTTGAAACCATAAACCTCTAAAGGGGTAGCTCTAACAGGTACCTACAGCAATGGCGGCATGCTCATACATATACATTCCGCTGCCCATTGGCTCACAGTGGTTTTACCATATTGAGACAAGACAAGCTCTCCTTGCGTAGCAAGACAAAACAACTACTGTCCGTGTGCAGGGCGCTGCCCTTTGATCCTTAGGGAATAACTGGTCATACACCTCCTTACAAGGAGTATCCCTTGGGGGTGTATCGGCACAGGGGGGAGGGGAGGGGGGGGCGGGGGAGGGGGAGGGCGGGCGGGAGGGGGGGGGAAGGGGGGGAGGGGCGTGTGAGGGAGAGGCAGGCCAACAAATCAGGTAAAATGAAGGGAAGCCGGGCAAGGGGGGGGGGGAGGAGGGGTAGGGGGGGAGGGGGGGGGGGAGGGGGGGGGGGCAGGACGGTGTGGGCTTTGGTCTTTGGTGGCTTGGCAGATAGTTAAGAAGTTTGGGCTTACACTTATTAACTTATTATTCTGATGCTTAGGTTCAAAACAGACTGTCACGACGTTAAAAGTAGGCTTGGCGGCTTGGTCTTGGCGGCATGGCCTGCGTTTGGCATCAATCCAATTGAGAAAAGCCAGGCGCCCAAGCGATTGAGGCTGGGAGCCACCTGCTGGTTGTGACCTGGGGTGTTGAACTCATGCAGTGAGGAGTTCAGTTGTTGCCATGTGGTTATTTGTCTTTGTTGTTTGCAGCTTGGCTGCTTTGCTTCAGACCGGTACGTGGTGTAGGTTGGTGGCTCACGTTCACAGTGAAGGGGCAGTCGGGTTGTGTGTTTATGCTGCAGGGCAAAAGATGCTCGCTTCTTGGCTTCCTTCTTGATCTTTGGCCTGTGGCCTTGTTGTGTGTGTTGTGTTTGTGCGTTTGTCGGAGTGCTTCGGCCTTTGGCCTTGTTGCCCTTGGATTGGCGCTGCTGCTGCTTGATTCTTTGTTTCAGTCTTGGCTCTACCAAGAGGCAAGCCTGCAAGGCAATCAAAACAAAAACATCAGGCTTGCCTCCAAACCGTTGGCCGGGTTTGGAGCTCAGCTTCCTACCATGTTGTCTGACAGAACTTTTGGCCAACATGCTCCAGCCTTGGGAGCAGACGACAGCAGGGCAATGCGCTAATGCGCCTGCTGGGTTCTGGGAAAGACTTCGTGGACAAAGGAAGGTGCATTTGGCAGTGGGGCGTGACCCGCATCTGTCCATTTTGACTGGAAGGCCTGTTGCCAATGGCGGTTGTGCGTGGCTTGATTGGTCCTGTGTCGTGTCCTGGTCCTTGTCCTTGTCATGTTCGGTTCTGTTCTGTGTTTTGGCAATACGCCGCCTTGGAGTTCCTGCATCTGTCCATTGCGTGGGCCGTGGGCTGAGCAGTTGTTTGCCGATTGCTGCGTGTTGGCAAGAATGCAGCAATGCATGTGCTGCATGTGTGCATGGCGCAGCTTGGCAGTGGATGGCGTTGCCGTTGCCGTTTGCCATGATAACGGAACTTGCTGCATTTGGTCAAATTCCAAACGCCATGGGCAGGGCTATGCTTACCCAGTTGAAAGGAGCCCCTGAGGGGGGTGTGGAAATTCAACATGTACCGTTGGCCGGGTGCAGGCGTGGTACCTGTCCCGCGGTGTTAAGGCCACGCTTGTGCAGCCGATGATCTTTATGATCTAGGCTCGCAGGTATGACAGTGGGGCACATGCGCCTAATGCGTCCACTGGCACCGACCCCTGGGAAAAGCCTCGACCTGCCTGGCAAGTTCTCCGAAAGGGGGCTTAGCCGGACATAATAGAGGCATAATGTTCAGGGTGCGTTGGCTGGCGATGGGGAGGCCCTCTGTGCTTTGTCACAGAGATTGAAAATTGAAGTTGCTTGCTTGTCATCATGAGTCATCATGTCATGTCATGTCTTGTCATGAGTGCTGTGTGCGCTGTGTGGGAGTCTTTGGCTTTGGTCATTTAAAGCTCGCACGTGGGGGAGGGAATTGGCAGGATGAGGGGAAAGCAGGCATGTTGCCAGCCTGGCCCAAGGCCCGCAACCATGCAACGGCTTTTAGCCGGGTAAAAACCTCAAAGTGTCCAAGTGGACTAAGTCGGAGAACGAACTGACATATCACTCACGCATTGTGTCGTCACACGAGTCAATGAAGTCTGCATAATGACGATTATTGTGGTGCTTGCACGGAAGACAACATTCCCTGGCAGGTCTTCATGCCAAGTTCGGTACCTACGCCAAGTACTACGAGTTCATCTCGGATCGGCAAAACCAGCATGAGCACAAGTCCTTTTTGGCGTCGTTAAAAGACACAGCCTCAGTATGGGACCGCCAGTCAAGAGTCAAGAGTGCGAGGCATCGTGCATGTGGTTTGCCGCTTCTTTTCTTACTCTAGTTTTGTTGTCGAATGACTTCCTCAGGACTGGATCAAGCAGCACAACGAAGACCCTCAACGAGCAAAGCTGAAAAGCAAAGAACAACTTTTGGCAGTCAAGCGCGAGCTTGCAGTCGATCGTCGTGTGGGCGGCCGGCTTGTAGCCCCAAAACGACAATTCGTTTTGTCGTCCGCTTGGAGCGAGGCCAAACACGGTGTGTGGGACGCCAGCAAGGACCCTGGAGCATTAAACTTTAAATTTGAAGCCTTAAAACCCTAGTAGCAACAAAACCCTAAACCCTCAAGCCAAGGCCGTACCCATGAGTATAAACCCTTAACCCAAAGCCTTATGAATCAACCTTAATCCGGCAACCAGGAAGTTGAGCTCGAGATCAAAGGCATCAAGCAGAAAGGCGTCTGGCGGCTCGTCGGGGAAGAGGGTGTCTTCGATTTCGAAGAATACGAAGACACGGCCGTGGCCGAGAAGATCATCGAACACGAGGGCGGGGACGAACCGTTCTCTGAGGTGGCCTTCGCCCGGAAGAAAGAGGCCATGCACAACGCCTGGACGGCTCAGAGCAAGGCTCGAGAAGCCGTGTCTGTCAAAGGCCCAGAGCTTGGCATGGAAGCCTTGTTGGCCCTTGTGCAAAACACGGCCTCAGGCCAAGGTTCTTCTTCCAAGCAGCGGCCTCTGGCCAGGTCTCGAAGCCGCTCGCGTGCTGGCAGGTCCAGCAAGGCCAGCAGCTCCAGCGATGAATCTGCCAGCGACGCTGAAGAGGGGCCATTGGCTGGGTTGTCGTTGCTTGTTTCTAGTACGGCATCGGCCAAGGCAAAGAGTGCCAGTGGCAGCAAACCTCCAGCTTCAAGCAAAGCAGGAAACGCTCCAACAGGCAAACCTGGGCTCCTTCGCAGCAATTCATCAGGCATGTGGAAGGTGCGAATATGTTGTGTTTCTGGGTGTCCTTTGCATTGCAGCCATGTAACATTTCTGGACGTTTCTTGCTTTAAGGCGGTTTAGGCTTTAAACTAAAATGCCTGAGGTTTGAGGTTTTTAGGGTTTCAGACGTTTCAAGGTTGGGGGGTTTAAAGTTTGTAGCTTGTGCATACTCAACAATACTACGGTTGAAAAAAATCATAATATTATAATATTGTAGTACTAACGGTATGCACTTTTTGTCACCCGTCAGCATCGAGGTCCAAGCCATCAGCCAAGGGTGCAAACACGAAGAAAGTGTCTGCGCCGTCTGCGCCTGTGGGCCAGGGCCACGGCAGCAGAGGAGGATCAGGATCAGGACCAAGAACCGCCTTGGTTCTGGACGCAACACCAGCAGCACCCATGCAGTTGGACGGGCGTGCAAACAGAACCCTGAGGCGATGCCAGACGGAGATCGACAAGCTCAAGAAGACCTTGCAAGACGTGGACTTGAAAGACAAAGCCCAGGGCCCACAAGCAACTGCGTCGAAGGAATACCGGACTCATTGCCAAAAACGTGTCACCACCATCAACATAGCTGTCCGAGATGCAGGGGCTACGATCAAGGCGGTGGACAAGAGCAGCAACAAAGAGACCTTTGAAACACAGTTGCAAGAGCTGCAGCATTACACGGCTTTGAGCCAGGCTGTTGTGCGTTTGATTCAGATGATGCCGGCAGCCAGACCTGACCCCGAAGAGTTCATCAAAGTGTTGAGCGAGGTCAAGAAGCTAGACATTCTGGGCTTGTCGTTTGGGCCAGGTTTTCAAATGAAGTGTTTGATGGCCAGAGCCAATGAGAGTTGCCTTCACGGGGATCATGAGAAGTTCACCGACATTTTGATGCACAGGTCAGAAGAAGCTCAGCCGCTTCTTAGCAGCATGAACCTCTCTGATTTGCGCTCCCACATTTGCACAGAGGTTGAAAACCGAATGCTGGCATCAATGCGAGCCATCACCACAGAAGAGCTCCAGCTTAAGATGCAAGGCAAGGCTTCCAGTGAGGATACACCCAACTTGCACGAAGCAACCTCCCTAGCCAAAGCAGTTGCAAAAGCATGCGCGGACAGCGATTTTTTGGCTAGCGACCTGCAGGAGTATGCTCAGATGTCCGCTGCACTCCTTGACCAACATGATATCAAAAGGTTGGAAACACAAACGCTGAAGGTCAAAGAAAAGGCTTCTGAGAAGCTTGAGCGCGTGCAGGGCATGATTCGTTTCTTTCTGCAGCATGATGTTGGCAAGGATTTGATGTCCATGGCTATCAGCCGAGTGCAGGAGGGTGAGCTGGAAGCAGATTTTCAGGCCTTGGTCCGGGTTGCTGAAAAGGAGGTAAGCACTTTGGCCTGCGCGGCTGCCAAACCGCCACTTCCTGAAGCCTCGGGATGCAGCTTAGGACCTGATGTCCTGGCCCAGGCCATCGCTCCTGCGTTTGAAGCTGTAGCCAGCTTGAAAGCTTGCAAGTTTCTCAAGTCGAAGCAAAGCAAGAAAGCCCTGGGTGAAGATGGAACGCTTCCAGCAGAGTCTGTCGCGTCTTTGGAAAAGCAGCTGTCCAATGCTGCTGTCCAGCTGGTGAGTCCTGACTTGTCCTGCACCGTGACAGAGCATTTGCTGCTTGCTCCGGTTTAGCAACATGAATCGTATTGCCAACTTATTGCTATAAGGGGAAATGATAAACATTGCCCACTCACTTGAAGCGTCTAGTCTAAGTCATGGATGAAATAAAGAACGAGCCAGGTGGAAGCTGAGGATGAGGTGGTTTTGGGCGTTGGGTGTTGAGGCTTGTGTTGATGTTCATTGTGTTGAAATGTTGAGTGCCATGAGTCTGGCAATGAGGATGTTGCAGGATCGTGTTGCAGTCTTTGGGGTGAGTGCTCGTAGACTGTGCAGCTTGCCAAAACCAAGGAAGGAAGCGTTCGATGCTTTAGAGAACAACTGCATGGTGAAGCTCAACAAGGCTGGAGGTGGCGGTGAGGGCGAGAGCCAAAGCATCATCAATTTAGATGACTTCCTTGCCGGCTTGACTGCAGCATCCTTGGCTGAGAACAAGGTTTTGCAGAGCATCCCAGCAGTGGCGGCTATGATGACAGACTTCGCATCTGCGGTGGAATCCGTGTCACAACTGCTGCGATGGGTTTTTCTGCGAGAGCCGGCTTTCAGCCAGGTTGCCAGCAAGCAGGAGCACGTTTCGCCTGAGGCTCTCCAAGTTTGGGCCGATGCGGCTGAGAGCCGCCTCAGCAGCTTGGTCGAAGACCCCCAGGTTCTCCTCAGAGTCCAGACGAAGCTTGTATCGCCGGTCAAGCTCGAGCTCGCGCGGCTCTACTCAGCTGGCTTGGACAGCGTTGCGCCGATCGTGGACCAGCTCACAGGAAACATGTTAGGAGCGGGATTGACAAAAGGGCTGTATGAGGATTTGATGATCAAGATCCCCTCGAACCACAAACTCGCAAAGCTCGTGGACGCATTTGCCAAGGCCGATTGCTTTGTTTTGAGATTTTGATTTGAACTTGAGTGAGAAAGAGGAGAGGGAGGGAGAGCAAGCAGGACAGGGAAAGGGAGAGGCGAGCAGCCGAGGCAGTATGCAGCAAGGGCCGAGCCAGATGTGATATGCCAGGTGGCCATGTTCCCGTCCAAGGTGTCTGAGAAGGACCAGGTGCGTTCTTTCATCCAGTCCTTGAAAACGCTTTCTGAAGAGCTGGCCCGGGTTATAAGCCAGGGCCCGGAGATTGAGGCGGCAGATTTGCTCAGAACAAAAATCGCCGATCCTACAACCAGAAACTTTCTTCATCAGCAAGTTTCTGCTCTTCACCAGCGATTGACCACCGTTTCGAGCAATTTTGTGAAGGATGCATGGGCAAAGCACGGTGAAGTCGCCTCGATTCTTGATGATTTGCCATCGCCTGATGCAAAAAAGGAAGAGACCTATCGAACCGCCATGCTGCAACATTGTGGCACTTTAGCGCAGAAGTCAGCTAGCGTTGGTGCCATTTTAGAGACCCTGCAAAGCTTCAAAGCCGAGCTGGAAATCTTATCCAAGATTCAGTTTGTGGACGGGTTGCAAAGCGGTCTGGAATCGCAGGTATCGTATGAGCCAGCGGGAAGTGCAGACGTGTTTGCCGAACAGTGCAACAGGTCTGTGACCTTGTCCAAGCTTCATGTAGCTCTGATTGCTGCAATTTGCTTGATGAGGAACCCCTCGCTCACCAAGCGAACAGAGGAAGGCAAGACATTGATGGCCAAACTTAAGGAAGTTCATCCGACTCTTGTCAAGCACATCCAGGATTGGAAGCCCTATGCCACTGTGTCGACCCCAGGATTTCGGGTCCGTGCTTATGCAGAGACATTGGCTGCTGAAGTTTTGGCCGTCATCTCACCACAGGATCCTGCCAAGACCACAGATAGCAAGCGCAAGAAGAAGGGCAAGGCTGATGAGGATGATGATGATGAAGAGCGCACAAAGGCAAAGTCTGCCAAGAATTCTGATGCAAAGGCGAAGGAGAAGAAAGACAAGAGTGACAAGAAAGACAAAAAAGACAAGAAAGACACGACCCCGGAGGAGCCCACGGAGAAAGCCAAGAAAGCTGTCAAGGACAAGGACAAGGACAAGAGTGACAAGAAACCGAGAGTGCTGGACTGAAGCATGCAGCATGGCCTTTGGCCAGGTTCGTCGTTGATTGCCAAGCAACATGCAATCAACACATTGCCCAGAGTTGCTGGGGCGTTCGCTTTGTTCATGCTTGCTGCCCGTTGACGGCCCGTTGACATCTTGCTTGAGGGCAGCACTGAAAAAGAAGCGATGATTGTTGTGGCTTTGCTCGAGTTTACGTTGGTGCATTATGGCCGGCATGGATCCTGTCTCAAAGCTGTGTTTGCTGCGCTCGCTGTGTTCATCTCATCGTCATGAGTCATGAGTCATGAGTCATGCATGCAACGTCAAATCTTGAGCAGTGTGTTCCAATCCTGTTGCAAGCATTTCAAGCTGAGAACGCATGGCATAGAGTACACTTAGCAGAGGCGTATGCGACATAGGCAGAGGCAAAGGTATGGTGTAGCCCAGCCCCAAGCCAAAACCTAAACGAAATTGGCCTAAACCTTTCGAATCAGAACTTTTGCAGTTTTGGATTTGGCATTTTGCCACAATCAGCACGATGGCGGCTGGTTCATCAGCATCGGTTGACCGGGCACTTTCAAGAGTGGCCTCAAACCCTGCAGAGCCCGAGCTTATGCAAAAGGCTTCAAGCCGGGTTTTGCCAGCCGAAAGATTGCTTGAAGGTGATGCTCTCATGCGGTGTGCCAAAGAGAACTTGAATGGTTTTGTGGAGTTGTATCCACAGCAACTGGGGACAGAAGCCATAGGCAACATGGCGCCAGTCGTGTTGACGTGGGGCTCGGCTTGCTCTGGCTCTGAAGGCATGTTCTATGTTGCTGAAGCTATCAACAAAGCCTTTGACCATTTGAACATTCCTATCTATTTGGACCACAAGTTTTCGTGCGAGAACAGCAAGGACAAGCAGCGATGGATCCACACAGTGCTGGCCTCTGGCCCTGTTTTTGAAGAACTACATTCTGGCGTTGATCCCTGGGGACGGAGTCGTGAGGTTGAGGATGATGACGATGATCCTCATCACACGTGCATTTTCACTGACATACAAAGTTTAGGGCAGGATGTATGTCAGTGTGCAGTGCATAATGCAAACTGTTGTGTTCCCCATGTCGACATCTTTGTATGCGGCATCAGCTGCAAAGACTTGTCAAAGCAGAATGCCAAGAGAGACAAAGCAAAGCTAGTTGTCCAAGAGTCCGAATCCAAAGGCGGCACAGCGCAAACTTGGAATGGATTTCTAGACTACGTGTCCATGGCCTTACCAGGATTCATTTGGTTTGAAAACGTGGATGGCTTGGAAGAAAATGTAGGCCAGTCAGCCCAGTCGAATTTGGACCACATCGTGCAGACCATGAACGAACTGGGCTATGAAAGCCAGGTGATGCAGACTGACGCCTTCCAGTTTGGTCTCCCAGCACGGCGTCGACGCATCTACGTGTGCTTCATCAAGCGGGTTTTCCACAAGTTCGACTTTCACGAGCGCAAGATGGCTGATGTCGTGTCGATGCTGCGGAGCATGACCTTCGTCGTGGCTGGGTAACATTTTGTATTGTTCACGGCTGAGTAAACATAGTAGGGACTAACTTGCAGTTTTCATGCTATCCCAACCATAACCCAGGACAGCTTCATGTGTGAGGTCGGCCCCGTGCGCTAGCGAAGTTCTTCTTGACTCCAGGTCTGAAGCCGTTTTGGCAGGTTTGTCTGAAATGCAAACCAGGAAGGCTCGGGCTTTAGAGCGTGAAGAGAAGGCTGCGGCAAAAGCCAAAGCGGCTCAAACTGCTGAACGGTCGCAGGCTCAGGCTAAGGCGAAGTCCAAGGCCAAGCCAAGCCCTGGGGGCGGGTCAGGACAGTCGTCTTGGGTTGAGCAGCACCTCAAGTACTCGGACAAGAATAACATGCGCTGGGGAGCACCACTTGAAAAAGATCTGGACATAAATGAATGGTTCTTGACCTTGTCGGATCGCGAGAAAGATGCACTCGTGCTGTCGAGGTCTCAAACGCCTTCGGCGGGGTTCAGGAACGTCAGCCAGTCGGTAGGTCGCGTTGTTACTAGCCAGAGCTGGATCGAAGAGACCCAAAAGCACGTCGCTCCTACGATGCTTCCGACGCAGATCTTGTTTGTGGAGATTGCAAGGCCGCCTAGGCTGTTATTGGGGCAGGAGGCCCTCATAATGCAGGGTTTTCCTGTTGTTCCTTGGCCTTGGCTTTGGCTTTCTTCTGGTTGCCACGTAAGACTTAAACTAAAGACGTAAGTGACTCAAGTCTCAAGTCGAAGTTCTAAAGCCTAAACCTAAAACTTTGCAACTTAAAGTCTTAAAGCCTGAAACCTTAGACTTAAGCTCCTGAACCTTGACGTTTAGGCCTTTAGGACTCCGGTTTCAACACCAATCCATCCAAGGTTCCGTTTCTCCTGAAAATGGAGGAAACTGGCTTCGATCGCAATAAAGAGCCTTTGCCAGAGCCCTCACTGTTTGGGCAGCCGCCAGTCAAGAAACGAAAGCAGAAGCAGACAGAAAAGCAGTGGCTGACAGAAAGCCTCATGATGGACATCGCTGGCAACGCGATAACACTTCCGGTTGTGCTGGCCATTGCGCAAGCTGCTTTGTGCGCAGTCGAGTTCCGTGAAGAGCGTTCTGAGGTCACTGGGAAAGACGCTGAGCAGACCTTGCAAGCCTTGGCCCTGTTCAGCTGACGTTTTCAAGCCGCAAGCCCGTGCTGGGCATGTGGCCTGTGGCCGTGCTGGCTTTGCACCGTTGTGTTTAGCCAGGGCCTTTGGCCAAGTTGCGAGCCGGCCTTGTTGGCAGACTTTAGGCCTTTAGGCTGTGACTTGCGACTCGTTGTGACAGTCTTTGTGCCGCGAGGAAAAAGACCAAGCCGTGCAGCCTGCTGTTTACTGCCTTGCACTGTCCTGCACATTTGCAGTGTTTTGAAGCCGCGTGTGGTCAAACAACCAACTACGCATACACAGCAAGTCATCGAACACATAAGCATATGATTTGAAAGGTTCTGTTTCAAGCTCCAGCTTTAGGTTGTTTCATTATTTCGATTCCCTTGAAATGATTTCTGAACAATGTGAAACAACTATTCCAGATTTTCGCATATTCCTGGAACCGTTCCAAACAAGTGTTCGACATTTTCTCGTACTTCGGAAACAATGCAAAACAATTGTTAGATATATTCTTACTGTTTTGGAAACAATTGAAAACAATTGTTGGATATTTTGCTAATATTTCCGAATATTTCAAAACAATTGCCAAAACAATTGCCAAAACAATTGCAACAATTAAAACAATTGCCAAAACAATTGCCAAAACAATTGCAACACTTAAAACAATTGCCAAAACAATTGTGTGGGTTCTGGGCACCTACAAGATAGTGGGTCTGTTGCGAGCACTCTTGAAAACATTCAAGAGTATTTGAGCACAATGATGAAGAACTACCTGAAGCAGAACCAGGTACAGAGGACATTTTCTGGGAAGATTCATATTCGGACATTGGCGATTCCGATGAGGAACAAGACATCTTCAAGAGCGAAGATTCTGGACCTCCAGAAGTTGCAGAAGCCCAGTTGCAGGAACTGGATCGTGAGGCAATGCTCACAGAGATCAACAGACTCACCGAGATGAAGGCACTGGCAAGGAAACCCTTGCAAGAACTCGAGAGAGAAGAGGAGAGAGAGACAGAAGAAGAAGAGAGCAACCAAGGAACAAAGTGGTTGACGACGAAATTCGTCTTCGATTGGCGATTCAGGAACGGCCGATGGATGCGGAGAGCTAGGTTAGTAGCGAGAGAGTTCAAAGGAGCAGAAGTAAGGAACGACACGTTCAGCCCAGCGACGAGCGCATCGTTGGTGAGACTTATCCCGATCTTAGGATTACAACAGGAACATTCCCTGTACTCCATTGATGTCAAGGACGCATTCTTGCAGGTCCCACAAAGGACGCGATGTGCATGTCAATTCCCGAAGGAATATGTGGATCTGTTTGGCGACCAGGACCCTAGTTGCAGGAACGAAGGTTTGTTACTGCTTAGAGTACTTCCAGGACAGCGAGATGCAGCACTACTATGGAGTGATCATTTTGCAGGAACCCTTAAAGAGCAGAACTTTGATAGGAGCAAAGCTTGCCCTACTTTGTTTCGTGACGACAGGAACAGCATACTTGTTGTGCATGTAGATGACATTCAGGCAGCAGGGAAAACAAGGCACCTAGAGCCCAAGCTAGGAAAGCTAGGAGAAACCTACGAGCTAAAGGTTGAAGGCCCCTTCTTGACAGAGCAGGAACTTGAAGTAGGAGAGTCACACCAGACAATCCGATTCCTTAAAAGGAAATTCAGCTACCACAATCACGAGCTCCACATCACGAGTGACCCGAAGTATCTTGTGAAGCTTAAGGAAGAACTGAAGCTTACTAGCAAAGCCTCAAAGCCGACTCCGTGCACCCAAGAGTCGCAGGAACAGGACAACACTCAGACCTTGAACCAGGAACAAGCAGCATCGTTCAGGAAAAGCGTTGGCATACTCTTGTATGTCAGTCAGGACCGCCCTGACGTGCAGTTTGCCGTGAGAGGTTTGGCCTCCAAGATGTCGGAACCAACACATGGTTCTTGGAAACACTTAGTCCACCTAGTGCAGTACATGTCGAGAACTGAAGGATACCATTTAGTGTACAGGAAAACGCCTAGAGGACTCAGTAATCTCCATGAATCCATCAGGAATGGTAACTACGACTTTACAGGAATAAGGCCCAAGGAACACCACCTTTTGGAAGTCTTCAGCGATTCAGATTGGGCAGGAAAGAAGGACACAAGGCGCTCAACATCTTCAGGAATTGTTTGCCTAGACGGTCAGTGCATTTACTCCTTTTCTAGGAACCAGAAGTCGGTTAGCTTGAGCAGTGGTGAAGCAGAGTATTACGCAGGAGCGTCAGCAGCGTCAGATTCTATATTGTTGAAGGAAGCAGTAGAATTCTTGACCAGGAAACAATGCAAGGTACACTTGTACATGGATTCTTCTGCAGCTAGAGGAATTATTA